AGTTGCCCAGGCGGGTCTCGAACCCTGGGCTCAGGCAATCCACTCACCTCAGCCTCCCAAGGTGTGGGATTACAGGCTGAGCCACCGAGCCCGGCTTAAATTTTTAAAATTTATTGTAGAGACAAGATCTCACCAAGTTGCCTGGGCTGGTCTTGATCCGTGGGCTCAGGCAATCCTCTCACCTCCATCTCCCAAAGTGCTGGGATTATAGGTGTGAACCACTGCATCTGGTCAGAAATCTAGTGTATTGCTGATTCATTTGACACTGTTTCTCAGGATGTTTGACGAATGTCAGTCCCCTGCCAGTTCAGACACCTGTCCAGGGCAACACAGCCAGAACTGGGAGAACAGGCCTGGCCCCCACCTGCAGAGCTGCTACAGGACTCTCTGAGGGCTCCCTGGCCACTAACCAGTGGCCCTACCACCATGAACATCCAAATGTGCTCCTTGCAGGAAGGGAGCAAATAGGGCTGACCTGGTAGGCCCTAGCTTCCCAACCCAGGACAGTAAATGGAAGACAGGACTGAGTCCAGACAACCTCAGAATCTTGCTGAAGGGGTCTTTTCTGAGCAACTGCCCCTTAGGAAGTCATGGTGGAGGAGGCAGCATTCACTCCTGGAAACGTCTGCTGTGGACACAATTTGGTGAACTGACCTTTAGGGCAGGTTTTGAAAGATGCCTCCTGGCCTGGCATCTTTCAAAGAGTTCAGACCATAACTTTTTCCCAGCTTGTGGATAAGGTCACTATACACACTGGTATAAAAGATATTCACCAACTCTCAAGTCTGCCATGTCTCTTGCTTATGATCAGGAAGACAAGTGAGACTGGCCTGGGCAACTTGGCGAGACCTCATCTCTACAATAAATCAAAAAAAGCCGGGCGTGGTAGTGCTTGCCTGTAATTCTGGCTACTCGGAAGGCTGAGGCGGAAGGATTGCCGGAGCCCAGCAGGTCGAGGCTGCGGGGGCCGGAAACGGCCACTGCACTCCAGTCTGGGCAACAGAGTGAGATTCCAAAAAAAAAAAAGAGAAGACAAGTGAGAATTAGTTTGATCTGAGAAACTACAGAGCAAAACAGCAACTTGGTTTTCTCTCTCTCTCTCTCTCTCTCTCTCACTGTGTGTGTGTGTGTGTGTGTGTGTGTGTGTGTGTGTGTGTGTGCGCGTGCGCGTGTGTGCGCACATATGTTC